TCCAATTATATCATCACCACTCAACAATCGAATTCCTTTCTTACTGATACCTTTCGCAATCACCGCCGATAAACACGACTTACCAGTGCAAGGCGCACCTTAAACTTCACCATCATATCACAATCTCAATAACGCTCGTTATTCAACCCAATACTATTCTTATCAACAGACCCGTCAAAAGAATCGATCCAAATGAACAATTCGCAGAATTCTGTACCATTTTCGCCACTAATTCACTCTCGTCAACGATCCATTCAATACGTTTACACCATTTAATAAAGCCACCTGCAAATAATAACTATCAACCTATATCACATAACATAATGTGCTATAATTCGAGATATTACAATGACATCCTATCTCTAATTGCGCTGGTAATATTTTGTCAACAACACGACATCACTGTTTGATTCACCTATTACCATCATGCGTCTTATGAGGAAAGCTTCCAGCAATTGTTACACAACAAACAGTATTAACCTGACAAATACTTATCCACTCCTATTGGAATAACATTCATTTGAGACTGTGGAGGAGAGACTGACGTTGTTGGGGGACTGACATTGCATTGTGGTGAATTAGACTGTAACGATATTCTCGATCGAACTTCTGTTAAGGCTGACAGCTGTAATGATTATTATTATCGTACACAATTACATTAATAATAATAAACAAATAATAAAGATGTACAGTAATAATAATAAATAATAATATAATAATATTATCGTACACAATTACATTAATATTAATAAACAAATAATAAAGATGTACAGTGATAATAATAAATAGTAGTAAGAATAAACGACGACGACAACAGAAATAAATGATGACAACAATAAAAACCAACTAAAGGATTTTGCGTGGGAGATGTAGATGCTGGCGTTTCATTATTAACATCGTTACGAGTATTATCCGAGGACGTTAATCGTTTTGACTGATCCGTTGAATTTGAACACTTGTTATTGTTAGATGTATCATTATCAGCATTGTTATTATTATCAGTGTCATCATTGACCTCTTGTTTGATACAATCCAATGTGGAGCGAAATATGTACGAAGAAGATTCGCCATCATTAGTCTTCTTTGGTGTGCATGACGACGAATCAACACTACCGTTCTTATCATTGGGCACGTCTTCAGTACTATCCTCTGCGGAGTTCTCATCATCCAAATGCACACCGTCATGCAATCGACCTGCAATATCAATCCCTCTACCTTAAGAACAATCAAACCAGAAGCGTAAAACCCTCAAAGCTGTGCAACTCCACCGACTCACTAACTTTCCAGCCAAAAAAGCGCATAAACATTTTCCAAGCACAAAATGAAATATTGCCACAGTCAATTTTCAAATTTCCCTACAATTATGAATCATGCAAACTTTCTAAACCGCTATTCTCAAATCGGATGATAAAAAAAGATCAAAGAATTTGAACTAGTCAATCAGTCGACCATTTCATTAAAAGACCAAAAAAACGGGAAGAATAAAATCGAACCAAACAACTGATAAAAACCTTGCACTGATAATGAAGGTGGTGATGTCGAATGGTTACTTTTAATCAATGGACACGACGCACTTAATATCCGTTTATTTTTTTCAATTCTATGTTTCATTTCCAACATCATTCGCAGAGTTTCATTCGATGATCGAGGTGTTATATTGTTAACGTGATCATCATCACTGTAACTGGTCGATGGCTGTTTCTGCTGATACTGCTTCTAAATTATCAATGGTTTCACAAGTAAATTCCTTTATGAATATACGATGTTCCATTAACTACACTTAACCAAAATACAAACGTAACGCCAACTTGAATTCAAGTCTTATTGCCAGGCAAATTGGCAACATGACCGTTACTGTTTATCATTCAAGTCAGTCCAGCTGAATTTAATGGGAAACTGCACCTTAATACGATTGAACTGTTCGATGCAGGAAATGGGTTCGTAAGCAGCACGTCGTTTACTGCCGCAAATCACCGATCCGGATGAAGTCAACTCCAGATGCGATGGGTGGTTATGCGTCGAGGCTCGTTTTACTACCTCAAATCACATCCTGGTACAATGCTATACTGAACCCGACCTGTAGCTCAAGACCAAAGCTTCAAATCTGGACAGGAAACAAAGGGAGAGGCTGCCAGGGATGTGAATTTAGAAGGAAGGAGGAGAGGTTGAACGGCTCGATCACCCCGAAAATCAGCAAATCTCCCCGTTGAAAAGCAAAAAAGTGCCGTCATAATATCAAAAAGCATGGAACTGACCACATTGGTAACGGCATCAG